TGTTCTTGCTAACCCTTGCTGATTTCTGAACCCTACACTTAAGTCCTGCATGACACATAAACAGCCTTTATAACAGCTGACATTAATATTACTGTTGTTCTTGCTAACCCTTGCTGATTTCTGAACCCTACACTTAAGTCCTGCATGACACATAANAATCATGTGTGTTTCCTTCTAGTCACTTAATGTTATATACTGTTTTACACAAATGTGTATTGAGCCCTTTTTAACAGTGCTGGCTACAATTCACAATTAGTAATAAATATAGATAAAGCTGCAGTGAGCTCTTTCTCCTAGAGAATCAACCCAGTAACTTTCTCAAGCCAGTGGGTGACTCAAATTTTACATCAGTTTGAAGTTTAACAATGTTGAATTTGAAATCTGTCATTACTTAATAAATAAGGAAAAAGTAGACTTTTGAATGCATTACCTAGGCTGGTTTACATTGTCCAGATATCCTTTAGGAGGAGACCCAGCTAGGGTAAGTTAACCTTGTTTGCTATGATCTTAATGCATGTCAGATTCAGTAAAAGACAGTTTTTAAATTCTATGACAAATAGCCTAAGTCAATCATGAAAAGTTGGGTTTTTACTACACCAGCATCTCAGCCATGTATTTTTTGTAGTATATATTTTATTGTAAATCAAACGTAATTCAGCCTGTGGCTGCAAGGTTTTTGATAATAAACTATCTATCTAAAGTGTGCTGAGAATTTTTAAACAAAACTTAGTGTTTCATTGTTTTGAAAGTGGATGCAAATCAGAATTTTCCTGAATAGGGTGGTATAAAGAGTAAAAAAAATTAGCTAAATCTAAGTGTTCAGTCGAGGAAAACAGAAGTATGTTTTGATTACTGCCATCAGTTACCAAACTGTGCATACTATTCGCCATTAATTTCAGACAGCACATTTCAATAAATTTGTATTATTTGATATCTGTACTATACTTTGTATCGTTTCGTGATCTGCATTTTGTATCAGTAGGTATTGTAGTTTTTAACACAAAATAACACTTAATACTGTTTCAATGTTGTCTCAAAAAAAAATATTACAGTTTCCAGGTTATGTAAATTCTAGAAATGTAATGGAATGAAGTTTGCACGTATCCCGTGAAATGTGACAAATGCAATTTGGTGAGGAAAACCTTGAGGAAATTTTGAGCAAAGGGAAAACACACTATCAAATCGGTCTGAAATGAATAGAAACTTTACCATGGAAAAAAAAATCAGCAATTTTTTTACCACGCTAGTTTTCCGAGAAACATGTGAGTGGTAGTTCGCAGACTGAAGATTTTTTAAATGTTGTTTATAATATAAGTACGTGTACACGCGACCTACAGCCGGCTTCACTGGAAATGAAATATGTTGGGTAAGTTTCCGCGCTGAATTTTATTCAAAGGTGTTGCTACGGCTCGAACACATCAGACCCTTACCTTGGGAGGAAGTGGCTGCTTTGGTTGTTGATAAAAACCGGGATGATATCGATTGGGATCCTGTTGGGAACTCACACCATTCATCTGGACTTGTTGAGGGCCATTCGCCATTACATTTGATGGGCCTTGTTGTGGAGGAAAACTGCCTGCATTTGCCATAAAATTATCTCCCACTCCCTTTACTGGCCCATCGAATGGCAAACTCCTGTGTTTAATGTAATTAGCAATCAGCGATCGGGATTTCACAAAAATATTTTTTTTGAAGTTTCAAACATTCGTCGATTCATACCTTTGCCCTGTCATAGGAGGACGCTGATTCATCATTTCTTACGCGCCGTATAAAACGTTTTACGCAGATATGACTTCACCAAATTAAAGGGTAGGCCTCTTGGAGGCAATACAAGTACTAAAATTTACAATTAAGTGCAGCAACTTTTTTTCACAAGGCGAAACGTTCCACTAGTTTCGCGTCTCAGTACAAGACATTATATGCCACGTAGAAAAGTAGATACCCAATTTTCAACTTCCCGGATGACCAGCCGGCGCATTGTCATATGGGTATTTTCATGAAGCGCCAACTCAAATTTCTTACGTGGCTTTTGAAACTCTGTCTAACATTTGTAATGCTAAAAAGAAACCGACAAAAATGCATATTTAGGAGTTTTGATCCTCTTAATTTCGTCTTATAACGTTCATTTTCCCTTTGATGATATATTTGTTCGTCGTCACAAAAATGAAATTTACCAGAGATAAATGAAAAGAAGGAAAGAAAAAAATTGTGAGATCTATTTATAATTAGTCCTATTCGGTAAATTTTAAAGACGTTACAAAAAAATAGAACTTCTTGTGAGTTTCAAGTTTCGTGGACGAACAAACGTAACATTCACGTTTGCAGAACTTTAAAATCCTAAAACTGAAATTTAAAATTCAATTTTTTAATGCGCCCGCATTATTTTGTTGCGTGACATACGAAAACATGTGAAAAGACCTTGCTCATGTTCCGCTAAAATTGATTTCTTTTCAATCTTTTTTCGACATCCGCTTTTATTTCAATTTTTCTGAGGGACTGCTTCAACAAATTTAGACATATCACACAGGAACAAGATAATACTGTAGTCCCTGAATGACTTTTGCCAAGAGTATTTGATCTCTTGTTTTTTCTAAGATATAATTCTGACTGATTGGTTCATTCAAGAGGGAGTTTCAGAGTTTCAGATTTTAAGTCGACTCCCTCAATTGCTTTCCCCCTCAAAAAAACCTTTAGTAAAGGCGATAGATTTGTTCACGATTAAAGGAAAACTGTATTATATATTTACCACTGTAATAAACAAAAGCGATATGGCGGGTGGATCTGCTTTACTCTGTAATATCACACACAGTTCAAGGAAAGAACATACGCATCGGCATACAGGTTAACTCAAGGTTCAATCTCTGCTTTATCTATTCAAGAAATTCTTTTTTGTCCCCTTTATAATCTACTTGGACCGATACTAACTTTTTATGGCTATAACTTCAACGGCGGCATATAACACCTTGTCATCCTCTAATGAACTAGCAGTGGCTCTTTTATTTTAATTTTTGTTCCGATCTCAGGAATGACAGATCGATTTATTGGTCATACAGATATTTTTTCCCTATTGAAGGCACGTCGACCCATAACGGTCGATCATTTGCTCAGATACTTTAATTTACCCAGCGAAGTGCTATAAGAAGACACACAAGAAGTAACCTATGTGAGGGGGGCATTGGGGCCTCTGGGAAACCGCAAAACCGGCGGGAGAAAAAAAACCTCCAAAACCAAAAAACCGACGAAAAAAGGCAGCAAAACCGAAAACCGCATGCAAACCTGACAAAGCCGCTACATTTTCACCTTTAAAGGGGTCAAAAAGGAAAAACCGAAAACCGCTTCAGAATTTTCGTGAAAACCGAATGCAAAAACACGTAAAATCCGAAAACCGCTCTGAACATCAAAACCGATCCAAAAGAAAGTCAAAACCGCAAAACCGAAAATCCCAAAGCCCCCCTCCTATGTCTAGCCGCTACGCTTCTTTTAAGTAAAAGGCGAAAGATTTATGCGAGATGAAGGAAAACCAGAGTGACAGCCTAAATAGTGGGGAAGACTGTCTGATTGACCGAGCTGACTCAAGGCATATGGGACAAATAAAGTGCAAACAAAGCACGCATGTCAATGTTTTTCAAATGAGGGGCTTCATAACAGTTGCAATAGTTCTCGAGGTTTTGCTTCTTTTAATCACCTTTCGAAAACTTATCATCATTTGCGACCGATACGTACGTTGCTCAATCGTGTACACTGCCACAGACTTCGTTGATTGAAACTACGGGGCATGCAGTTTTCTTTGACATGCGCGGTAACAATTGTCCAGGGTGTTTTTCACAAGGAGACAGGCAAAAGCAAGGGTTATCATATGACCCCGACTCTTTTTCTCTTCTTTAAAATTTATGGTTATCATACTCACATCTTGCGCGGTGATCGGAAAGGAAGAACTGTCTGAGATTCGAATTTGATGCCGTTGGAAATTTTGGTTGTTTACAAAATGTCATCATCTGACAAGATATATGATAGGACAATCTCTTATAACTGAGTTTTCAAGTTTTCATCTGCACTTTCAATGCACTGTCATTCGTGTATCACCCTTTCCCTTACTGTCTGGAAAATAAACCGTAGAAACGGTGGTTCTTCTCATGTTATCAATCTTGTAAACCAGCCATATTAAAGAATTGATTATCAGGAAATGAACTATTTCATCAGAATGTTTCGTGTCAAAAGCAGCCAAGTCCATGAAATTTGGGATTGTGGTACTACAGCCATACATTAGTCAACGCGATCTTATGGCACATCACGCTTTCCCTTTCGTTCTGTTGAACACTTAGCGGGTCACCGGATATCGCGCAGCTTAACTTCTAAGCTTCATATACTATCATTAGAAGCATATACCACCACGTAGGCTTCTTCCTATGGCAGTTACATTTCTTAGAATTTACCGTTCAACACCATTTACAGGACGAGACGGTTTAAATTCTGTTATCAACCTCGAGGGTTATGGGGTTCTTTCAAAGGTTCTGTGTGTACGCATGTGCAGAAGCAAAGCAACCCACTTCGAAGAAAATATTTAGGAAAACCAGAACTGAATACAACGCCGCGAGTATAGAGGTTTTGCACAGCAGCCATGTTGGATGGCAGGAACAATAGATTATTTTACCCATGGGAAAAAAAATTTCTTTCTTATGCAAAATATTTTCATTGTTCCTGTCATCCAAAATGGCTGCTGTGCAAAACATCTTTGGAGGCATGGAGGCAGAATCGTCGTATACTGCGTGGATGGGCTATGGCCAGTAATCTTATTTCCTGCTTTGTCTTTACTTTCCAAAGAATTGCTCATCAAATTTTCTACATGTTGCTTGGAAAAAGAAAAGCAATCAGAAAAGTTTAGGTTCTTCAGACTTACAGGACAAAAAATTCGTGGAAGAGCCACCCTCCTTGTTTTACCACAAGTCTCTTCCAAGGTCATCTACCCAAAAAACACCCCTACCACGCACAAGGAAAAACAGTTTACTTGGGTTCACACAAAACTTTATTTGTTCATCTGTCTAGCTGGGCAAGATGCAAGTATCACTTTTAAATTTCACAAAAAAAAGGCCTTCCATCATGCGGTATTGAAATACAATAAAGGCACATGACATTGAAATTAAAGTATCTACTGCAACGACCGTAGTCAACAATTCATCTAGTCAAATATGAGAATGCCAGCTTCTTTCCAAGGTTAAATTTGTGAGGAAGAGTACCTTCTACTTCCCACCTTATTCCTGCCCCTTTCAAGCTCCAAGGAGTGAGGAGGTGAAAGGAGAGACACTGGAAACAAGGCTTCTCTGCTCATCATACAAGTAAAGGGAGTGGAGTGTTATTCAAGAAAACACACTTAACAACTCTGCTTTGAAAAGGAAGTTGACCATAAAATTTGATACAACAAGAACAGGAAGAAGTAAACTTTGCTAGTGCATGTGTATCTGGGAGGCCGGCCACCAGTTTTTTGTACAGTTAAGCCTGGTTTACGGGATGGCAAAACTATCTCTGCAACTAATAACATGTTTGTATTTAACTAGGATAGTGAATCCTCCAAGCAATTTTCTTAGACTAACATTTGCCTTGTCTGATATGAATAGAAGTGGTGCATCCCAAACACAGTGAAAGGACTCAATTCTCAAGGGTTAATAACCAAGTATTTTAAGATCATTTTTGAGAGAAATCTTCAAGTCCTTTCTTTTCAAATTGAAAATGTTCAGTAAATGAGAGGAAGGAGAAATTTCTCATTTTGAAAATGAAAATACATTTAATGTAGATAAATGTATTAATTTTAATGTTATCACGGAACTTTGGTTTGTTGTTGTTGTTGTAGCTCTTGTTACTGCTGCTTCTGTTGTTTTACATTTAACTTTACATAAGAAGACCACAAATTAGCCAATACAAGGTGAAATTTCATATATCATTAACAAAATAAACAGAATTTTAGAGAAAACAGCTCCATTCTTGGGTTGAATATGTAATACAATAGTAGAAGTTACTGAATAGTTGATACAGTGCAGGACAGCTTTTTCAGAACAGGAGAGTTCCCATGCCTCCCATTTCACTTTGCTCTTTGACAAAGATTTCAAAATACTGGTAAATGATTGTAACAGCCAACAGAATACCTGTTCCAGAGCCGATGGCCCCTCTGAAGAAACAAGGAAAATGTTTTATGCACAGGTGTATATTTCATTCTATCCCCCATTAATGTCACCTTGATTTCTATCCTTTTCTCCCCTAACTGCCTCCCGGCTAGCTCAATGGATAGAGCACTGGACTGTTGTGTGGGAGGTCAAGGGTTCGAGCCCCGGCCGCACCAACCCTGAGGGTCTTAAAATACTTGAGAAGAATATGCTGCTTTTCTATAACATCAAGAAATGGTTAGATATTCTAGTCTTCTCGGATAGAGACGAATAAACGGAGGTCCTGTCTCCTGCAGGGTTAGGGGCAGGAGACGTTAATTTTCCACGCACGAGATTACTGTGTGATGGATGTCCTTCACTGGGGTGGGATGGGTGGTTAACAGGACCCCGGTTGATACCACTGTTTACTACACTAAAGGGGCTATCCTGTATAAATATAGATGTCTACTCTACTCCATTTTTTGCTCCTCACTTCAGAAAGGAACAGGGGCTTTTTTCTCAAACAGTGGCTGCTTATCAAGACTACTCTGCATATAATGAGGAAAAACCCTCAGAGCAGCATGATGTCATTTATTGAAAAAGTGCTACAACTTTTTCAAAAGCAATCATTGACTTGACAGATGAGAAGAACTCTATGTTTTGCCCTTGGTTTTCACTCCATTTTTTGAGAACAAATAGAGGCTTAGAAAGCTTGTTTCCTTTTTTCTTGGACAAAATTCATCCATTCATAACTTGGAAAAATAGATACACTCATCTGGTAGTTTCAGTTAAACCTAAACCCTGCTCCTTTACTTTCTCTTTTTACTCAAGATGCTGAGTTAATGAACACTCTATGCTTACCCATGAAATCAGCTAAGACTGAAAGGGCACCAATACAAAGTCCACCAAAAGCTGCAGCTGTAGGGATATACCTGGAATAAAAGAGATCAATTTAAAATGTCATTTTATTTCTCATTTCAAAATTGTAGTACAATATCAGAAATTATCTATTGAATGAAACTCTATCCATACATTGCATACATGAAATATAAGGAAGATTTGCATCAGCTGTTTCTTATTCTTGCTCACCTGTTGAGTTCATGAACCATGGATTTATCTCGGTGACCACGCATCACCATTTGCTGTTCCTTCAGCTGTTTAGCAACCTTGATTTTGGACAAAGGTTAAAACATCCATAATTGATTGAACCTTTAATACTACAGATTTTAAAATTAATACTACAGATTTTAAAGTAAATTTTGCTGACTGATGCCACGCAATTCTCAACTTTTTTGGCATAATTTGCCAAAAGGTAAAGCTCAAGCAAGACACATACAATTTTGAGACCTACAGTGTACGTTTCTGTTCTTAAGTCACAATTAAAAAGTTGAAATACCCAGAATTTAACACATTTGTATGGTGAGTTGGGAACTATGAACATTGGAAATTTAAAATGCATACAAGTTGTATAAAGAAAATTATTTGTCTGTCAAAGTTAAAAGTTTCTGTAAACTTGACGACCTGAACATTTAAAGAACTTTTAACATGCTGCTCCATCACTTTACAAATAATACTTACATCTTTGGCTGAGGAGCCAGACACATCAATCCATGTCTTGGAGAAGAAAGCACAGGAGCCCAACATGAAGACAATGTACAAGACGGCATGTATGGGATCTTCTATAATGTGACTCACTGTCTCTGGAGGTGACATGTAATAGCAGAGGCCACCAATGGGGTAAGATCTCGCAGGTCCGCCACCAGCTTCCTGTAATCAGAAGATCACCATGATGATGTTAGGGAGCCCCATCACAGAAATGCATTCACAACTCCGTAACTAACAAAACCGTCATAAAATCAGCTAAAAGATGGTCACATACCTCCCATGTTCCAAGTAGACTGACAAAGAAATTTCCAGCAAACTTAGCTGACAACATTTGGGAAATAACATAAATATTGGACACAAGGGCACTCTGAAACATTGACAAAAAAGCAAGTGATGAGAATTGACTGACAAGCTTTGCACAAGAAAATCAAATTGTTACAATGCTCATTATAATTTTGCAGATGTGTTCATCCAGCGGTTGTATGTACATGCATAGCATAAAGCTCAACTTTTTTTTCAAATTCACCATTTGGTGAATAATATAAAATAATTTAAATATGCGATTAATTTCTTTTAATTAGAGGTACACCTGATAAAGAGCATATTGGTCTAGGTAAAAAATTCTAACAAGAGTAATAATTAAAACTTTCAATTGTATAGAATGCATTTTAACAAATTTCTTAAATTATACTCATATTGAAAGTTTTGTGGTCACTCTCACCTGCAAAATGATGGGGATATTTGAAGTGTAAAACAGTTTGATTGGGTAAGAACTGTACTGGCCTCTGTAGCGAGCTGACTTGATGGGAAGATCTACACGGAAACCCTGCAAAAAATTTCCAACCTCTATCATACAACAAAACCATGCAAAGAGGCATATCAGAAGTTAAATGGTGTAATTTAATTTAAACTCATGACTGCTAGTAAGGAGGATGGTGCTTATATCACATCTAAAACTATACTTTTGAATGACTAAACACATTATGCTATATTTCAATAGTAAAAACAAAAAAAAAAACATACTGGCACCTTGAAGAGCTACCAATAATCACATTTTAGGAAGGAAAAAAACATGCTGTAATTGTACAAATATTATTGACTGAAAGGTGGCAATCTACCTGGAAGTAAATGACTATACCAAAGACAAAAATGGTGGCAATCAGGTTGGTGAGATTTGGCAGGTTCTGACGATAGAAGGCTTCACGAAGCCCACGCACTTTGTCTGTTCTGGTGGCCAACAGATGGAACAATGCAATGATAGCACCCTCAAACTCAGTTCCTAAAATCATCAGCAAAAAATAATGTGTATAAAGCTTTGGCTAACTGTGAAGGGGAAATGCAATAATTTGTCTCACAATGTAATGACTTCTAATGCAAATTTTCATTTGTAATGCATAACTATGTAATGCTTTGTAGGGTGACCAGTTGACCTCATTGCAAAACAAAAAAAAAAACAAAAAAAACAAAACAAAAAAGATGTAAAGCACATGTATACACCATATAAAAATTGATAATACTTTATCATCACAGCATAGAAAAATTGCAAAAAAAATCTTTAAGCTGACAGCTACTCTCAAACATCTTTGAAATGTTACTTCTACAAATACATTCAATACTGGTAAGTCTCCATTTTTTCTTCTTAACGACGGTAATGTCAGAATTGTACATACCCCTGCCAGTGTTAATAGTAGCTGGACTGAATGCTTTCCAAACAATGGTCTCACAAATGTTTGTGGCAATGAATAGCGAGATTCTGTGAGGAAGATAGCCGAGAGGTTAAGCCAAGGCACAACTATTATAGAGAGAGTATGTCAAAAGAGCACACCGTCTAATAAATGGCACCCTTTATTTGTTGTTGCAAAGGAGTAGAAAGCACTATAAAAAGTCTGAAGAGCTTCCACAACCTGTACAACACAAGCTACATATAAAAGCCAGAGTGGTGATCAATCCATTTGATGAAAATTCCAAGGAGCATGGGAAGGAAAGCATACAGTGTACAGAAGTAATTTGCAGCTTTTTCATTCTCAAGGTCTGAAATTAACTCTCCTGGCTGATAAACTTATATTTCTTTATTGGCTAGTTGAAAATAGTTGGTACTACATCTAAACAAGATGTTAGTTTGAAGATTATAGTGCATAACAATCAAACTCAATTTGAGCTGCCTACCCTGATCCAAGCCCATATCCTTTCTGAAGAAGTTCATCAAGCAAGAGAACAATGAGACCTGCACAGAACAGCTACAAAGATAAAAAAGTCAGCAATCAGCTCCAAAAATCTGTATCAAAATAGTTCTCTGGTGGCCACTGAGACTGGAATACTTTGGTATTGCATAATAATATTATCTCCACTACTTTTTCTTTCTCCCACTTTCTCAAAAAAAAAAAAAGAAAGTTGCACTTTGTTTTCTGACTGTACAACATCAACTGGTTTTCAATAACAAATGACTAGTCAAGAGTCACCTAAAACATTGTAGCCTTGCCATGACAGTTCACTTTCACATGCCATTTTAGCCTTGAGTGATATAAGAAATATATGAATGACAAAACTTAAACACTTTTCCTCACTTTGAGTCATCAAAGAGAAAGATATTGCTTTACAATATACCTGGATGATAATCAAAAGGCAAATACCAGGGCCAAGATCAGAAGGATCACCATACATTCCAGTCATAACATACACCACAGCTTGACCGATTGTTATAATCATGCCAAACACTAATAAACAGAAGAATTTGATCAAATAAAGACAACAACAACAAGTAGAGGTATTAGGTATGTGCTATAACATCGCTCGCAGCGCCCATGGGCAAGATAAAGATAATCCTGTGTTCTGATTGGCTACCCAAGCAGGCAAGTTAGGCCCATCTTGCCCGCCATTATTTGCCCACATTGATCCTATGCATGAGAAAAATAGAATTAGAACTACATTCATAATTCTTGGAAAATTTCCGCAGTGAAAACGCAAAAAGCAGCAGAAGATAGTCAAAACAAAGAAAACAGAAACGACTCTCGTGAGTTTGTCATGCTACAAACACAGTTGGCTTTCTTTCCTGGCTCTCAAAGTAAACAAGTCATTCTTAATTCTTAATAAACTGAAATCTTTTTGCAATATAGTAAATCCTTCATTAACCAAGCTTGTTTGGTTAAGATGGCTGGATATTGGCCTTGTTCTTTTTCCCATTTTCATGGAACTAGACTTTGTCTTGGTCTATAAAAATGCAAAAAAAGAACTTGGACAATATCCAGTCATCTTGACCTCAAGCTTAGTTTAATAACGCATATGAATTACTGATAATATAATTCTTAACACATCTTTAGAACTCAAATGCACTTACACTTCTGAGATCCATTGAAGAGAGCTCTGTCTTTGGGACTATCACCAACTTCAATAATTTTGGAACCTGCCAAAAGCTAAAAATTTTTTCAAGTTAGTATTTAGCGTAGTTTTCAAATTAAATGGCATAGATCCTACAAAGACAAGAACTGTTTCAAGAATAGCAAGTACATTTTACTAGACCCAGCAATATAAAAATTATTACCATGCTTCTTTCCATGGACTAGGGCTTACAGTTCTACATATTTGTATGTTCTGTATTGGGAGTGGTATAGTTTAGAAATTTGGTAACTTTCTTTCTTTTTTTAAAATCATACTAACTATCACACAATAATCATCAAGAAAACACAAAGAAAGAATTTGAATCACAATTCAGGATTGTCATAGTGAGCTGGCAACGGGCACATTCACTATTGACTCTGAAAAATGCACCAGCTATACCCAATACCTGTGGCTAAAATTACAGTCCAGTTACTCAAAATTTTTTTGACAACCCTATGAATGAATGAATGAATTCCTTATTTATATTGCACCCTTTCTATACAATATTCAAAGGCACAGTACCCCCATCA